ACGGACGACGGACGACGGACGACGGACGATGGACGACGGACGACGGACGACGGACGACGACGGACGAAAACGGATAGCAATAGGTCACTTGAGCTAAAGCTCAGGTGACCTAAAAACTGAAAGATGGTCAGATAAAATATTGGCTGCTAGAAAGGTGGTGCAAGTTGTATGCAGAAATCATAACACTTTCCCCTTATAGGGACCATAAAGTATCCTTATAGGGACCATAAAGTATTCTTATAGGGACCATAAAGTATTCTTATGGGGACCATAAAGTATGACAAGACATTTCTTGCATTTTTTTTTGCAAATGAGAAAATACTTTATCATATGATTTTTCTAAGAGCAGAATAATAATAATAATGATATTTAGCAGTTTCTTGAACAAATATGACCTGACTAACTCACATACAAGGATCCCAGTATCACTGTCAAAACTGTAACTATACATCAGAACAGGTTCTACTTGCTTCACAGCATTAATAAATCCTTGAAACAAGAGGCCCAGAGGGCCTGTATCGCACACCTGGAAGTGTTAGCAAAATTGAAGTTGAAATAGCCAGATGTTGCTGGAAGTGTGTTACATGGTTAGTCAGGGGCTATATTATATGCAATTGCACAATATTCCGTCATTCCTACAGGAAAAGGAGGATTATGAAGAATGTGCTTTGTTTTCCATATTGGATCCTGCTCCTCTGCCCCAGGGTGGTCAGACCCACCGTTGATACAAATTAGGTCCCTTTCACCAAAGGATGCTTTACACCAAATATTGACATAATCCTGTCATTCCTACAGAAGAAGAAGGATTTTACAGCTATTTTGGTTCCCCTTCACCCAAGGGCGCTTCATCTCAAATTTGGACAAAATCCTGCCATTCCTACAGAATAATTTTGAAGAATTTGCTATGTTTCCCCTATTGGGCCCAGCCCCTCTACCCTCAGGGGGGCCACACCCACCATTTATACAAAATTGAGTCCCCTTGGCCCAAGTTTGCTTCAGACTAAATTAGGATAAAATCCCTTAATCCCTACGGTAGAAGAAGGATTTTAAAGGTTTTACTTCTATTTCCCCTATTGGGCCCAGTCCATCTGCCCCCAGGAGGCAACACCAACCATTTATACAAAATTGAGTCACCTTGACCCAATGATGCTCAGGCTAAATTAGGATAAAATCCCCTAATCCCTGCAGTAGAAGAAGGATTTTAAAGCTTTACATTATGTAACCTCTATTTTCCCTATAGGCCCCGCCCCTCTACCACCAGGAGGGTCACATGGTCCGCCCCCAGGAAGGCCACATCCACAGTTTATACAAAAATTGAGTCCCCTTGGCCTAAGGATGCTCCAGACCAAATTTAGTCAAAATCTACTTGGCTGTTCAGGACTAGTAGTGTTTTAAAGGAAAAGTTGACAGACGACGGACGGACGACTGACGCTGCGGTATGGCATAAGCTCACCATGGTCCTTCTGACCAGGTGAGGTAAAAATAAATTAACAAAGGGACAAAACTATGTCTATAGTCAGACAGGAGACCTAAATTCAGTAGACAACACTCTGCCAAGACACGCAAGTATAGCAATTTTGGGCCTTGTAGGTGAAATAAGAAGGACTTATCAAGGGTGTACAAAACATTTATTTGCCTGGAACAATTGCAAGTAGACATCAAAAATGTACTCGCACAAGCTGAATTTCTACTTGCCTCAATTTTTCACTCATTTTTTATCATTAAATACGAGGTAAGTACAGTTTGTTAAAGGAAAATAAGCTTGATAGAATGTGCATTTTTTTGCAAAATGATTTTTGTTTTCTTTCATTTACACTACACTGACCACGAGCACAATTTGTCGACGTATGCCTGACAGTTCTCGTTGCATTTCAAATCTTCTTGGAATAATAAATCAACAAAACAAGACATCAGAATATGTGTACATGGTGAAGACACATCTTACTACATTAGTAACAGATGCCAAAGGCAAGTCACACAATTAATCTTAAAACTGGTTGTCCCAGGTGCTTGGCAATTGGATTTTTACACCCCCTGGAACTTGTGTTCCAGAAAAACTTTGGTATGAAATATATATACAAAGGCCCATAACTCTATATATAGACATCCGGCCTTCTCAAGATAAACAAGATATCCCAGAGGGATCTTGGCGCCCACCATTGTACCATCTTCATTAGTTCTTTGTCAGTTCGATCTTTTCTCTTCTTTTCTCTGATCTGTTTGATTGAGTCATGTAAACAGTAAATGCACCTAGAGGTAACTTTTGATCTAAACTTAATACTGATGTGTATGAAAGCCAACCTTCAAAGTGAGTGTCATTTCACATATTTACTAGTAAAGAAATAGAATCGATCATTGGAATATGAGAAATATCTGTTTAATTCTTCCTTTAGTCAATTTGTTTTTATGATCAGTGTCAAAATATAACATGGACAATTTAGTACTATCAAATGTACTTTATGTTGAAATAAGGTGAGACTGACATATACATGGCCCTTGGTCTTCCAGTTCTTAAGAAGAAGTCGTCTAAATAAAAAGTTGATGGTAGACAGACACCCAATATCATAAACTCAACTGGCTCTTCGTGCCAGATGAGCTTAAAATGACTTGGTCAGTTTATTGCGAAAAGTAACAAAATGGTATTTGACACAGCAGAAAAACATCACCTTCATTTTCACAGTAAACCTTGTGTGTATTTCACTGATAAAAATGCTGTTAAGTCCTTTAGACTTTTTCAAACTATGGAATTTAATATCACTAAATTATAACAAACTTTACACCTACCAGGTAAATCATCTTATCAAAGGAAATGGCGAGTCGGCGACCATACGAACCTAGCTGTGAATGATTCAAATGTCTTAAAATCCATATAGCCCAGTTAGATCATTTCATGTTTTTCACGTACAGATCACATATTATGGATCAATATTGTGCGTTGAGTGACATTTAAAACAAGAGGCCCAATGGGCCTGCATCGCTCACCTGTTATTAATCTAACACTTGTAATCTTAAGATTTCATAAGAACCTATTAAAAGATTTAAACATATGACGCCTCTGACCTTGATTGTCGAACAAGGACATTAAGTTGAAAGTGGATCAAGGTCATTCATTTGAACTAACTTGGTAGCCCTTCATCCCAATTTCAGTACCCTGGCCCTTTTGCTTATTGAAAAGAAGTCGCTTGAAGATTTTACGACATTTGACCCCTGTGACCTTGAAAGTTGGTCAAGGTCATTCAGTTGAACAAACTTGATAGTCCTTCATCCCAGCATGCTACAGGCCCAATATCAGTACCCTGGGCCTTTTGGTTATTGAGAAGAAGT